ACTGACTACAAAGATTCACTGAAAAATAAATTCAGCATCTCCAGAGACACCTCCAGCAACACAGTGTCCTTACAGGGGAAGAGCCTGCAGACTGAAGACACAGCTGTGTACTACTGTGCCAGAAACTCACAGTGAGAGAATGTAATGGGAGAGTGATACAAAAACTAACCTAGACGTAATGTGTCAAACAGGTAATATCACTGTTTAAGTTTAAGTTAATAATTTTACTTAAAATTAAAAGACTTGATGTTCATGGTGGTTTGTAGGTCTGGGCTGTCAAATCTATTCAAATTCCCTGACACTTTCTTCCCCACTTATTTTTACAGCAATAAATTATTAGTGAGCCAGAGTGAGATGCCCTTTAACCCCCGTGGGTGAACATCCATCCATCCATCCATCCATCCATCCATCATCCATCCATCCATCCATCCAATCATCTTTCAACCAAAGTCAAAGTCAGCTTTTATTTTCAATTCTACCACATGTACAGAACACACAGAAAATTGAAATAACGTTTTCTCACAGACCCTAGTTAAACAGTAACATTAATACAAAAAAAAATTTTTTAAATACAAGTAGTACCAGTAATTATACCAGTAACCAGTAATACCAGTACCAGTAATACCAGCAACACCAGTAATTCTGGTCACGTTACAGGGGGGCTTGGAGCCCAATCCAGGCAGCATAGGGCACCAGGTCAGGGTACATCATAGATGGGATGTCAGTGGGCAGTTCAGTGACATAATTTAGCCTAAAAGCATGTCTATGGACACCAGAGTACCCAGTGGAAACCTGCACAACACAGAGAGAACATGCAAACTCTACACACAAGAAGCAGAGGTGGGATTCAACATGCAGTATTGGAGGTTTGATTTGAGTTTTTTAAGAAGGTTTGGTAGACTTTATGCAAGATTTTTATCTCCCAAAATTAAATGGATTAAAAAGTAAATAAATGCTAAAATTATAATGGATGGAGGTTCATATGAGCAGCTGTACAGTCATGAAGTCCATCAGAATGTGTCTCCATATGATCTCCATCTGAGGGCTCCACACTGACTTTGACCAGCTGTGTTTGTGCTTTTCTTGCTCACAACCAAATTCCCCAGAGATTCAATATTTCAGTAGAATGTATGAAAGCAACTGTGATGTCATCAGCTACAAAGTAACTGAGGGCTCTCTTCTGTCAGAATGCTTACAGTAATACAGCTGCAGTGGTAATGATGAGATTCCACCCTCTGTTCAGCTTTATCTTAATCATTAGCAGTTGTTTATTCATAAGTAAATTAACTTTCTGCATGTGTTCATTTCCATCTCATGTCTGTGGGTTTTATCATATTTTGATTTTATACACATATGTAGTGTTTCTGTTGTATTGGTAAAAATATAAAGTGTCCTCATAGTAAAACTTCCTCTTACTATATGTGGCAGGTTTAGTGTGTAAATCTTCAGGAACATCAGCACCTGCACTGTAGTATCACTCCTCCTGTCCTTTAATACTACAAAGGGCATTTCATACTCCACCCCTGTGCAAATGAGTCCCTGTTTCCTTCCTCCCTCCTCCTTTAAATAGCACATTATTGACTCTCTTTAAACCCGCAGTAGTTCCTGAGGAACACGGTGAAGAGCAGCTCACAGCAGATCATCTTCAGCACCGACCATGTTCTCTGTGTCTCTGCTGCTGCTGGCAGCTGCATCCTGTGAGTCTCTGTGTTTCTTCAAAAAGAACAAAAATCAACAGAACAACCGAAAAGTGAATAACGAAATAGCAGTGATGTATGCTAATAATATTGTACATATGTACTTTGGTTTCTTCTTGATTACAGGTGTTCACTGTAATGTTCAACTCACACAGCCAGGATCTATGACAGTGAGACCAGGAGAGTCTCTGACCATCTCCTGTAAAGTCTCTGGTTATTCACTGACTGACAGCAGCTATGCTACAAACTGGATACGACAGCCTGCAGGGAAAGAGCTGGAATGGGTTGGTTTTATATGGTATGATGGAAGCACTGCTTACAAAGAATCACTTAAGAATAAATTCACCATCTCCAGAGACACCTCCAGCAGCACAGTGTCCTTACAGGGGAAGAGCCTGCAGACTGAAGACACAGCTGTGTACTACTGTGCACGAGAATCACAGTGAGAAAATGTAATGGGAGAGTGATACAAAAACTGATTTATATGAGATGAGACACAATATTACTGATAAAACTTAATTATAATTGTCGTTTTACCCTCAAATTTAATTATTTTACGTGTTTTTAATGTATTACTTTATGTCGTCTGCCACTTTGTGGTTGAATTTCTCTTCTTCCTAAACACTTCCACTTTGCAGTAATACCCCATACAGCTGACTGTGGAATATCTAGCAGGGATGAAATTCACAAACTTGTTGCAAAGGTGGCATCCTGTTACAGTATCACGCTTGACTTCACTGAGCTCTTCAGAACATCCCATTCTTTCACAAATGCTTGTAAACCTGACTGTATGGCTAGGTCCTTGATTTTATACACCTGTGGCAATGACCCTGAAGAAAACACCTGAATTCAGTGATTAAGAGGTCTGTCTCAATATAGTCTATGTCAAATCCTCAATAGAAGTAAATACTATTAATCAGTAATCTGCCCTATAATAATGGTAATGATGCTGATGTAAGGCTCTGGACCCCCCGCTACCCTGAATTGGACAAGAGGCTACAGAAATTGGATGAATGGATGGATGGATGGATGTTGCTGTATAATATAATTAATCTATAAAAAGATTTATATTTAACAATGATTTTGATGACTGAGGTTCAAAGGTTTTGAAACTCCCTGACATTTCTCTTTTAATTACTTTATAAAGTAATGAGTTTACAGGGTGTGTGAGTCTGAGGGCTTCTGATGAAGCTGCACCCAAGCGGACAGGACAGGACAAGGCAACACTGATATTTTTATTACTTTTACAAAATCTTTGATAAAATCATGAGTTTTTTTAATCCAGATGTAATGTGTACAGAGCAGCTCAGTTTAACTTGAATGCCAGGATAAAAAAGCTTTAAGTAAATAAGAAAAAGAAATTAATTTCAAAAGGTGTTTAATATAATTCCTGTATTCTCACTGTTCTGTAGTAGGGGTGATTATATGGATCAGGGCTGCCACTTTCAGTCTAAGGAAATATGGGATCCAATACATATGAAATGTGGAAATAGGCTGAAGGGTGTAGAATCGTCTGTGGTCTGTAGAAACGGATTGATTATCAAACTACAAACAATCACTGCAGTTCCAGCAGGGACCACATGATGTCCTCAGTGTGACAGTAAATGCAGGCAGCAGAGGGACACAAATATCAAACTGAGACCCATTTTAGTCTTTACATAACAAATTCATCTCTTTATCATGTGACCATTTCCCCCCGACCCGCCCCACGCCCATCAGAGGAGGATCCCGTACAAACCTGCCACAGCTTTTAAAGG